GAAGTGTGTTTGAGCAGATAATGGTGGTGAGTACAGGGGTCCGTTTGAGAAGTATTGCCGAGACCATGGCATTAAACTTCAGAAGAGTGTTCCGATGACTCCGCAACATAATGGCGTGGCAGAAAGAATGAACAGAACTATTACCGAAAAGGTTAGGTGTATGCTCTCGAATGCAAAGTTGCCTAAATCATTTTGGGGTGAAGCCATGGAGACAGCATTTGATCAACCTATCTCCCTCAGTTCTATTGGATGGTGATCTACCACAGTGAGTTTGGATAGGGAAAGATGTCTCCTTTGGACATTTGCGAGTTTTTGGTTGTCGTGCCTTTGTTCATATTCCCAAAGACGAAAGGTCAAAGCTTGATGGCAAATCCAAGCAGTGTGTATTCTTGGGGTATGGAAATGATGATTTTGGGTGCAGACTTTGGGATCCTGTAGAGAAGAAAGTTTTTAGAAGTAGAGATGTGATCTTCTTTGAAGACCAAACCATTGATGATATGGGAAAGGGCGAGATGCTAGAATCTTCACCTGAGATTCCTGTTGATCTAGATCCAGTTCCTCCATAATCAGATGATTCTCCTGAAGGAAGAGCTGAGACAGAGTAGGATGGTGAGTTTGATGATGATCCTGCTACTAAAACAAAGACACCACCGGTTTCATCACCTCCTGTACAGCCTAGGAGGTCCGCCAGAGACAAGAGACCTTCCACCCGGTACAGTGTTCATGAGTATTTGTTGCTTACTAACGGGGGAGAGACAGAGTCGTATGAAAAGGTTCTTAGTCATGAGTAGAAAGATTAGTGGTTAGCAGCCATGCAAGATGAGATCAAATCCTTGCATCAGAATAACACGTATGACCTGGTGAAGCTGCCTAAGGGCAAGAGAGCACTCAAGAATAAATGGGTGTTCAGACTGAAAACAAGTTATAACAGCTCACAACTGAAGTACAAAGCTAGATTGGTTGTGATGGGATTCAATCAGAGAAAGGGTGTAGACTTTGATGAGATATTCTCTCCTATTGTAAAGATGTCTTCGATCCGAGTTGTACTTGGGATAGTAGCCAGCTTGAATCTTGAGATTGAACAGCTTGATGTGAAGACAGCATTCTTACATGGTGATTTGGAAGAAGAGATTTACATGGAGCAACCAGATTGGTTTCAGGAGAAGGGGAAAGAGAAGCTTGTATCTTGTCTCAACAAAAGCTTGTATGGGTTGAAGCAAGCTCCGAGGTAGTGGTACAAGAAGTTTGATGCTTTCATGATAGGGCAGGGATACCAAAGACTACAGCCGATCATTTTGTGTTTGTGAAGAAATTCTCTGATGGTGATTTTATAATTTTTTTGCTTTATGTCGATCACATGTTGATTGTTGGTTATGATACTACAAAGATTGCCAGGTTGAAAAAGGAGTTGAACAAGTCCTTTGCGGTGAAGGGTTTGGGTCCGGCTAGACTGATCCTTGGGATGAAGATTTCTCATGACAGACAGAATGGGAAGCTTTGGGTATCTCAACAGAAGTATATCGAGAAGGTTCTTGATAGGTTTAACATGAGCGGTACTAAGGAAGTCTCGACACCACTTACGGGGTATTTTAAGCCAAGCAAAATGCAGTGTCCTAAAAGTGAGAAAGATAAGGAAAAGATGAAAAAGGTTCCTTATGCTTCGGCAGTTGGCAGCCTGATGTATGCGATGGTTTGCACAAGGCCAGACATAGCTCATACAGTTGGTGTTGTTAGTCGATTTCTCTCCAATCTTGGTAAGGAGCATTGGAATGCTGTGAAATGGATTCTCAGGTATCTTAGGGGTACTTCCAGATTGAGTCTTTGCTTTGGCAATGGGAAGACCATGTTAGATGGATATACAGATGCTGACATGGCGGGTGACCTTGATGGTCAGAAGTCTGCTTCTGGTAACTAGATGACTTGTGGAGGGGGAGCAGTATCATGGCGGAGTAGGTTGCAGAAGTGTGTTGTTTTGTCTACTATAGAGGCAGAGTTTATCACAGCTACTGAATCTTGTAAGGAAGTACTTTGGTTGCAGAAGTTTATACAAGAGCTTGGCATGAAGCAAGAAAGGTATGTGGTGTATTGATGTAGACCTTCCTGAGGAAGCTCCCATCATGACACCTAAGTCTTCTGGTCCTATGACACGTTCTAAAGCCAAGAAGTTGCAAGAAAGTGTCAATGGTCTCCTACGTCAGACGGAAGTACCTATACCGAAAGAGTATGACGCTAGGTTGATCAATTTCCTAACCATTCAAGTCTAGTGTTTTCTGGTCCTTTCAGGTATGGTTTGCGGGGAAATAATTCAACTTGCCCGAGGAAAAATGATGTTTGCCGAGAGAATCAACAAATGCACCTATTCGGCTAACCCGTTTGCCGGGAAAAGGTCATTACTCGGACAACTCTTCACCCAGGCCAAATTTTTTACATCCGATGATCGTTTTGGACATTTTATATTCACATTATCGCAGGTAGAACCCAGCTTGTCCGGGAGATTTTGCCATTTTCTGAGAGTTTTCTCAAAACGGCCCATTTTGCCGAGTCAAGAACCCGGGAGAGCCGTTTCAGCTTACCGATTTGATGTTGTGGCCTGATTTTTGGTTTATTTTGATGTTGCAAGTTATTTTAAATGTTAGAACCTGAAAGAGGGATTCCTTAGGGACCAGGAAAGGTCCACTAAGTCAAGTAATTATTTTTCTAAAATTTTCTAATAGTATAGGAAAGCTAGTTGTATCATTTTAGACATAGTTGCAACTTTTGACTTTTCTAGTTGCTTGCTTCACCACCTAACTTGTGGAGCCAGCCAAGTTTGATGTGATAAAGAGTCTTCTTCCTCAAAAAAAAACGAGGGGAGGACAGAAAAAAAAAGAAAATTCCATAGCTTTTCAAAGCTTGAAACCGAGAGATCATCAATGGATTGTCCATGGTGAAATCTTGCAATTCCAAGGTTGGACTTTGGTGGTTTGCACTCCGGGAGTGTCAAGCAACGAGTATGGCAACTAGGGATGAGTTTGGCCTGGTTGTTGGAGCTCTCTAATCAAGTTTGTAACAATCTAAGAGGAGCCAAGGTCGTTGAATCCATTTCCTTTGCGATTGTTAGTGATTCCTTTACTTTGGTTGTTGTTATCAACTTGGTAGCATACTAAGCTCTCTTTCCATTCAGATCTCATGTCATATTGCTCTTTTAGGTGTAGTTTTGGTGGCTGCATCTATTTGTGTATCGAATTCCTTTATTACTAAGTAATCTAGCCAAACCGTGAATTGTGTTCATGGTTATATCTTGCGATTGATCCTTGCGTCTTCGATTCTGCATGCGTGCTCCATGTGTTTGACTTCATATTTTCTGAAAATCCTATCTTGTAAGTCTAAAAGGGTTTAGTAGGCCAGGGGTGTCAATTTATTAAGCCAAACATTGCATGACTCCAGGTTGTATCACTTAGGGTCAGTCTGTTTTTCCAATTTTTGTTTTAGTACTTTTAGTTGTCCAAAAATTCTGAAATCTGGTGGGTTATAACTTCAGTGTACTGGAGATATTGTGTCCAAATTTCAGGTCAAAATAAATTCGTTTACTATATAGACGAATCCAATATATTTTCTGTGGCAGATTGGTCCAAATCCATTTAGCTACTGCCCATTTTGGTTACTGGGTCTGTAGGCGTCCAAATGTGCTCAAACTTTGCCATAAATTTTCATTCTATTATATAAGTATTGTGTCAAATTTTCAGGGCAATCCGACGTCGTTTGCCTGGGGTTCATTTTTTTGTTATAATTACTACTTTCGTCGGTTTTGCATGTATTCTGAAAATCAGTTTGGTTACTGGGGTTTTTGCCACCATTCAGTGCTTCATTGTCTATTAATAAACTCCTGAAAGAGTGTTTGTGGAATGGTAAAGTCCGGGGCAAGGGTTACCTTTCATATCCATGTGTTTCGCTTCCGATTTTGGGGATTTCGGGTAGAAATCTACATCAATTTGGTATCAGAGCCAAATTGGTGATTAGATTATCCTAATTTGGCCAAGATCCAGGTTCTTTTACCATTTCCATACCTTTGAGTCTAGGTCTAGGTTGGGTAGTTTGAGAGGGTAGAGTGTGGTACAATTTGGTTCATCGCATATCTTGTGTTATTTGCACTTTTCTTGGCTTTTCATCACTTGTGCATGGTTTTATTGTGTTATACACATCCGGGATCATTCTCCCCTACCTTCCCCTGTTCTTGGCTGAGAAAATTAGGTCTTGGATCAAAGAGATTTGCAGCACTTACAATTTTTTCCACAAGTCTAGTCAATACCAAAGTGTACCCGAGTTTGTCAGTGTACCCGAGTTTGTCTTTTTGATCCGGGTAATTTTGTTTGTTGTGTTTGAGTTTCTTGCACCAATTTTCTCTATATACAACTGAATTTTATTCAAGGTATCTTTGTGATCAAATGGTGAATGGGCAAAATGTATGAAGCGTCTTAAAAACAGAAGAAAAGACGTGGACAAAAAAAAAAAAATAAAGACCCACTATTTGATTTACATTGCTTGCGCTGAAATTTGTGTTGTTTGGTGCCTTTCTTAGCATATTTGTTGAGTCTTTACCTTTAATACAACAACCAAATTTTCTTAGAAATTTTACCGTTTTAAAGTGTGTTAATTGCTAGTGTTTTCTACTCGGACTTGTCTATATTCCATCCGAGTTTGTACTCTTGTTTGCGTACCTTGTTTACTTCATTTGGTGACCTTGGTGATTGGATTGGATAACCTTGTGTGGAGTGCCAATAGTTGGTTCAAGTTGTTGCCTAGCTGAAGTACTTGAGCTTACTCTTGGAAGCTATCAAATACATTGCACACTTGGGATTCAAGTCAGTGAGATTGTGAGCCTTTATCCCTTTACTATACTTCTAAACCTCCGAGTGACATTGGTGAGTGTTTGGGAGGGGTATTTGGGAGTGAGACCAGCCTCTTAAAATCTCCATTCTTGCTTTGTTTTGTGTTTGCGCTAACTTTTTAGGTCATTCAAGATGGCACCACCAAAGAAAGATGCCGCCACAAAAGGTACTCAACAACCAACTCCTCAACAAGAAGAAGAATCCGAGGAGACATCAACCCTATCAACCTTAACTTCTCAAATCCAACTTCTTGTCACTCAAGTTGGTAATATAGGAAAGGAAATAGGTGACAGAAAGATTTCACAAGCTGAATTTGCTCAAAAGTAAGACACCTTGGCCGAGAGACAGGAAAGAATGGGAGCTCAAATGACAGACCTTAAAGGTGAGCACGGTACTTTGGCTTCTAACTTTGCTACTTTTTAGGAACAGATGCAAAATGTTCAAGATGAAGTAAGAAGCACTGTAAGGCAGCCACATCCACCACCACCACCACCATTTAGACCCGTGAGGCCAAATAGCCCACCGGTTGAGTTGTCTACGGAGGATGAAAGATCCGAGCCTCCATCACCTCCAAGAAGAATTAGACCGAGGAGAAGGGATGATGAACCAGAGAAAGGGAAGCTAAAGCATGATCTCCCAGAGTTCTTTGGCACATCAGAACCGGATAAATACTTGGAGTGGGAGATGATCGTGGACAAGGTGTTCAATATGCATTACTATGCCGAGGACTATAAGGTAAACGCCGCCATTTCTCAATTTCGTTTAAATGCTAACACTTGGTGGCTTGATGTTAACAGAAGAAGGCGTAGAGATGGTGATCCAGAGATTGTAACTTGGTTACAATTGAAGAGATTAATGAGGCAAAATTTTGTGCGCAAGTCATATCGAAATGAGTTGAGAAATGAACTACAAGATCTAAGGCAAGGTTCTCGTCTTGTTTGGGACTTTTATTGGGAATTAGTTTCTTTGCGTACTAAATTGCAGTTAGATGAGTCTGATGAGTCTATGGAGGCACGATTCATTCGAGGATTGAATCGCAATTTGAGGGATCCAGTGGAGTTACATGCTTTGAAGGTACAATCCCTTGAAGAATTGGTTGAATATGCTGACACTTTGGAGAAACAAACCAAAACCCGTGAATCAAGGGCTGCCCCTACATCTTCTAGGCCCTATTCCGGATCTACATCAACCAAACCAAGCCCTCAATCAAGCCAAATGAGGCCTGCCCCTACTCGGACTCCATTTCAGCCGAGAAGACCTCCCACAACATCAACCGGATTTCCTCCAAAACCGGTTGCAAAAGCACCTCCACCTAAGGTAAATCCTCATTCTAAACCTTCTACTTCCACTAACCGTGTGTCTAATGTACCGTCTCAGGGAAATAAGACCCAATGCTTTAAGTGCAAAGGGTTTGGTCATTTTTCTAGAGAATGCCCTAACCAAAGGGTAATGCATATTGCTGATGATGGTGAAGTTTTTAGTGAAGAAGAAGACACGGTCCTCGAACCCGAGCCAGTAGAGAATGAAGAATTACCTACTAACATGAAGTTTGAGGTTGAAGAAGAAGATGAGGAGATAGATTACAGTTTGGTGGTTAGAAGGACTTTGAGTACACAACCACTTCCTGAAGATTCAGAAGTATCTAAACAACGTTCTACCATTTTTCACATGAAGTGTAAGGTACAAGATAAAAATTTTTTAGTCATTATTGATGGTGGTTCTTGTGCTAATGTTGTTAGTGAAGATTTAGTAAAGAAGTTAGCACTGAAGACGACTAGACATTCCCAACCATACAAGTTGCAGTGGATTGGAGATACTGGGTTTGTTCAAGTCAAATTGCAAGCAAAGGTTCCTATTGAAATAGGTCCCTTTAAGGATGAGGTACTTTGTGACATTGTTCCTATGAATGCTTGTCAAATTCTTTTAGGTAGACCGTGGGAATATGATCACAAGGCTACACACGATGGTGTCACCAACAAGTACACTATCCGTGTCAATGGTTCATCCTATGTTCTTCCTCCTTTAAGCCCAAAAGACATCCACGAAGCTCATGATCATTTTAAGGCACAAAAGGAGAAAGAAAGAAGAAAGGAAAGGGCTTTGAAAAAGCCAATATCCGAGACCTCTACATCCTCGGGTAAGCAAATTTTATTGGCAACTAAGGATGATATTGATGAAGTATGTGATATTACTCCTCTTTGCATTTTGTTAGTCCTTAAAAATTATTGTTTTACTAACACTAATGACTCGAAAGAGCCCACTTTGCCTAGTGTTATTGCAAAGGTTTTGCAAGACTATGAGGATGTGTTTCCTGAGGAGTTACCATCAGGTTTGCCACCACTTAGAGGCATTGAGCATCAGATAGATTTTATCCCTGGAGCCTCCATTCCCAACAAACCAGCCTACAAGGCCAATCCAGTGGAGACCAAGGAGTTACAAAGGCAGGTAGATGAATTGCTTTCTAAAGGATTAATTCGTGAGTCTTTATCTCCTTGTGCAGTGCCAGTGATCCTAGTCCCTAAAAAGGATGGAACCTGGAGGATGTGTGTGGATTGCAGGGCAGTTAACAAGATCACAATCAAGTATAGACATCCAATCCCCAGATTAGATGATATGCTTGAAGACCTTAGTGGATCAAGGATCTTCTCTAAGGTTGATTTAGCATCCGGATATCACCAAATTCGGATGAGGCCAGGGGATGAATGGAAGACAGCTTTTAAGACTAAATTCGGTTTGTATGAGTGGTTAGTGATGCCATTTGGGTTAACTAACGCACCTTCTACTTTTATGAGGCTTATGAATCATGTTTTGCGCGAGTTTATTGGTAAATTCGTTGTGGTGTACTTTGATGATATATTGATTTATAGCCGTGACATAGGAGAGCATGCTTTTCACTTGTCTTGTGTTTTATCTGCTCTTCGTGCTAACCGTTTATTTGGCAAGATGTCTAAGTGTACTTTTTGTGAAAAAGAAGTGGTCTTTTTGGGATTCATTGTAGGTAAGGATGGCGTTAAGGTTGATGAAGAAAAAGTACAAGCCATCCGTGATTGGCCTACTCCTACCTCGGTAACACAAGTTCGATCCTTCCACGGACTTGCAAGCTTCTACCGAAGGTTTGTACCCCATTTTTCCTCTATGGCAGCCCCTATCAATGAGCTGACAAAGAAAAATGTTAAGTTTCATTGGGGTGATAGACAGGAAAAAGCATTTAACACTTTGAAGTCAATTCTTACAAAAGCCCCTGTTTTAGCATTACCTAACTTTGATGATGTGTTTGAAGTTCAATGTGATGCTAGTGGAGTAGGTATTGGAAGTGTTTTATTGCAGAATGGAAGGCCTATTGCATATTTCTCGAGAAGTTCAATGGTGCTCAATTGAACTACCCCACTTATGACAAAGAGTTGTATGCAATTATTCGTACCTTGGAGCATTGGCAGCACTACCTTCTACCCAAAGAGTTTATCATTCACACAGATCACGAGTCAATCAAGTACTTGAGTGGCCAGCAAAAACTTGACAAAAGACATGCCAAATGGAGTACTTTCTTGGAGACTTTTCCTTATGTGATTCGGTACAAAAAGGGTAAGGAGAATAAGGTAGCTGATGCTTTATCTCGCAGGAACTTGGTACTGGCTACTCTTGAAAGTAAATTCTTTGGTTATGACTTTCTTCAGAAGCTTTATAGTGATGATTCTGACTTTGCTTCCATTTATGAAAGTTGTGACAAAGGTGCTTTTCAAAAGTACTACAAGCATCGTGGTTTATTGTTTAAATCTAATCGCTTGTGTGTTCCTGCTTGTTCATTGCGTGATTCTCTCATTGCCGAGTCTCACATGGGTTCTTTGATGGGCCATTTTGGTGTTTTAAAGACCCTTGATTATTTGGGTGAGCATTTTTATTGGCCACGCATGAGAAAAGATGTGGAAAGATATTGTGCTTCTTGTATTCCTTGTAGACAGGCCAAGTCAAAGTCCAACAACTTTGGTTTGTATACTCCTTTGCCTGTGCCTATTTGTCCTTGGGTTGACTTGTCTATGGATTTTGTCTTGGGACTCCCCACCTCACAGAGGGGACATGATAGTGTGTTTGTTGTGGTAGACAGGTTTTCAAAGATGGCACACTTCATACCGTGCAAAAAGACTAATGATGCAAGGTATATTGCAGATTTGTTTTTCAGGGAAGTTTCACGGCTTCATGGAGTGCCAAGGACCATTGTCGATGTGAGGATACAAAGTTCTGAGTGACTTTTGGAAGTCATTGTGGACGAAGCTTGGAACTAGGTTATTGTTCTCTACCACGGCTCATCCTCAAACGGATGGCCAAACGGAAGTTGTAAACCGCACCTTGGGTTCTCTCCTAAGGGCTTTGGTTCGTGGACACAAGAAGTCATGGGAAGAGTGTATTCCAATTGCAGAATTCTCTTATAATCTGACAGTGCAACGCACTACCGAGATCTCTCCTTTTGAATGTGTTTATGGGTTTAATCCACTAACCCCACTTGACCTTTCTATTGTTTCTTTGCCTAATGATGTTATTGTTGATACAGATGGAGCAAAGAGGGCCAAGTACATCAAAGATCTCCATGCAAAGGTTCGTGATATGATTGAGAAGAAGAACGAGTCGTATGCTCGTTTAGCAAACAAAAGCCGCAAGGAGATGGTATTCCAACCTGGAGATTATGTCTGGGTTAACTTCCGAAAGATTCGTTTCCCTAACAAGCTTAAATGCAAACTTGATTCTAGAGGAGATGGACCTTTTAAAGTGCTTGAGAGGCTGAACAATAATGCCTATGTTCTTGATATGCCAGGTGAGTATGGTGGTAGTGCAACATTTAATGTTTCTGACCTTACTCCCTTTGATTTCGCAGAAGGAGAAGCCACAGATTCTATGAATCCTTTTCAAGGGGGAGGGGATGATGTAGACCTTCCTGAGGAAGCTCCCATCATGACACCTAAGTCTTCTGGTCCTATGACACGTCCTAAAGCCAAGAAGTTGCAAGAAAGTGTCAATGGTCTCCTACGTCAGACGGAAGTACCTATACCGAAAGAGTATGACGCTAGGTTGATCAATTTCCTAACCATTCAAGTCTAGTGTTTTCTGGTCCTTTCAGGTATGGTTTGCGGGGAAATAATTCAACTTGCCCGAGGAAAAATGATGTTTGCCGAGAGAATCAACAAATGCACCTATTCGGCTAACCCGTTTGCCGGGAAAAGGTCATTACTCGGACAACTCTTCACCCAGGCCAAATTTTTTACATCCGATGATCGTTTTGGACATTTTATATTCACATTATCGCAGGTAGAACCCAGCTTGTCCGGGAGATTTTGCCATTTTCTGAGAGTTTTCTCAAAACGGCCCATTTTGCCGAGTCAAGAACCCGGGAGAGCCGTTTCAGCTTACCGATTTGATGTTGTGGCCTGATTTTTGGTTTATTTTGATGTTGTAAGTTATTTTAAATATTAGAACCTGAAAGAGGGATTCCTTAGGGACCAGGAAAGGTCCACTAAGTCAAGTAATTATTTTTCTAAAATTTTCTAATAGTATAGGAAAGCTAGTTGTATCATTTTAGACATAGTTTCAACTTTTGACTTTTCTAGTTGCTTGCTTCACCACCTAACTTGTGGAGCCAGCCAAGTTTGATGTGATAAAGAGTCTTCTTCCTCAAAAAAAACGAGGGGAGGACAGAAAAAAAAAAAAGAAAATTCCATAGCTTTTCAAAGCTTGAAACCGGAGATCATCAATGGATTGTCCATGGTGAAATCTTGCAATTCCAAGGTTGGACTTTGGTGGTTTGCACTCCGGGAGTGTCAAGCAACGAGTATGGCAACTAGGGATGAGTTTGGCCTGGTTGTTGGAGCTCTCTAATCAAGTTTGTAACAATCTAAGAGGAGCCAAGGTCGTTGAATCCATTTCCTTTGCGATTGTTAGTGATTCCTTTACTTTGGTTGTTGTTATCAACTTGGTAGCATACTAAGCTCTCTTTCCATTCAGATCTCATGTCATATTGCTCTTTTAGGTGTAGTTTTGGTGGCTGCATCTATTTGTGTATCGAATTCCTTTATTACTAAGTAATCTAGCCAAATCGTGAATTGTGTTCATGGTTATATCTTGCGATTGATCCTTGCGTCTTCAATTCTGCCTGCGTGCTCCATGCGTTTGACTTCATATTTTCTGAAAATCCTATCTTGTAAGTCTAAAAGGGTTTAGTAGGCCAGGGGTGTCAATTTATTAAGCCAAACATTGCATGACTCCAGGTTGTATCACTTAGGGTCAGTCTGTTTTTCCAATTTTTGTTTTAGTACTTTTAGTTGTCCAAAAATTCTGAAATCTGGTGGGTTATAACTTCAGTGTATTGGAGATATTGTGTCCAAATTTCAGGTCAAAATAAATTCGTTTACTATATAAACGAATCCAATATATTTTCTGTGGTAGATTGGTCCAAATCCATTTAGCTACTACCCATTTTGGTTACTGGGGCTGTAGGCGTCCAAATGCACTCAACCTTTGCCTTAAATTTTCATTCTATTATATAAGTATTGTGTCAAATTTTCAGGGCAATCCGACGTCGTTTGCCTGGGGTTCATTTTTTGTTATAATTACTACTTTCGTCGGTTTTGCATGTATTCTGAAAATCAGTTTGGTTACTGGGGTTTTTGCCACCATTCAGTGCTTCATTGTCTATTAATAAACTCCTGAAAGAGTGTTTGTGGAATGGTAAAGTCCGGGGCAAGGGTTACATTTCATATCCATGTGTTTCGCTTCCGATTTTGGGGATTTCGGGTAGAAATCTACATCATGTATTGTGATAGCCAGAGCACTATTCACTTGGCAAAAAATTCCACATTCCATTCGCGGTCTAAACATATTGATGTGAGATATTATTAGATTCGGGATGTGTTGGAGTCCAAGGCATTGTTTCTTGAAAAGATTCATACGGATGACAACAGTGCCGATATGTTGACGAAGACTGTGAGTAGAGACAAGTTCCCGTTTTGTAGGCAGGAAGCGAGTTTGGTTTTACCCCTGAATTAAGGTGAAGGGGGAGATTGTTGGGCTGGTTGTTCCCCTCAATTGGGCCAGCAACAACAAGGAAAAATAAAACCAAGCCTAACTAGGCTTTGGTTTTGGGGTGTTTGACCGAGAAAAGAAAACCCACTTCTATTGGGTTTTGGGTTTTGTTTTTGATGCCTATAAAGGCAAGGCTTTGTGCACAATTTGTGTATATTTTTCAGCTAACAGAGAAGGAAAATTGGGTAGCCGCGCAAGGGTTTTGTGCGAGAGAAAAAGAAAGAAAGATAGGGTTTAGTTTTCGGTTTAACTCTCTTTTGGTTAGATCCTTCCAGTCTTACTTTGTGATAGGTGTGTGTGTGGAAGAGTATTGTTGTGATCCACCTTTGGGTGAAGTCCTGTGTATCCACCGGTTGGTGAAAATTGTTTCCTATTTTTGTGATAGTAGAGATTTGACTATTCTTACAGTCCCGTGGTTTTTCCCGATTTGGATTTTCATGTAAATTCGTGTGTTTCCTTTATTTTATCAGTTCTTGAATTATTTTACTTGTTTGGTTGTTCTATTTTATTGGTAGTAGAAAAAGAGTTTTTCTTAGGAATCCTTTCTGCTGGTTTGTTGTGTTTATACCCTTTCCGCCATAAGAAAATCCGTATGGGCATTCAGGAATTCACATCCGCTGCTGCTTTAATTCACCAAAAACAAAAAAAATTTGTTTAGGCATACGGGAATACTTCACGATCTTCTTCACTTAGCCAACATCCCACGAAAACATGATCGTGCTGTGCTTCAATTCCGCATCAACCATCTCTGCAAATTCAAAATAAAAATAGAACAAAGAAAATTAACAACCCAACTAAAAATCAAATTTAAAACAAAAAAAAACCAAATAGCAAATATAAAAACTAAAATTTAAAAATTGGGTTACCTCCCCAATAAGCGCTCGTTTAAGGTCATTGAGCTTGACCCCTGTCAAATTACTCAGAGATGGGGGATGGATCGGAGAGAGCATACTCCGCTCCTTTTATGATAGGCTCTCTGACATTATAGTACTTCAATCTCTGTCCATTCACCATGAATGATTCACTTGTGTAACTGCATAACTCAACAACTCCATAAAGGAGCACCTTGCTCACTTGGAATGGTCCAGACCACCTAGACTTTAACTTTCCTGGAAAAAGTCGCAGTCTTGGATTAAATAGGAGCATCCAATCCCCTTCATGAAATTCTTTTGGAGTGATATGTTTGTCATGCCAACGTTTTGTACTTTCTTTATAGATTTTGGCATTCTCATAAGCATCCAATCTCATTTCATCTAGCTCATTAAGTTGGAGTAGTCTCTTTTCACCGGCCGTCTTCATATCAAAATTAAGGGCTTTTACTGCCCAATAGGCTTTGTACTCCAATTCCACCAGAAGATGAAAAGATTTTCCATATATCAATTTAAAGGGAGACATAATGATGGGAGTCTTGTAGGCAGTACGATAAGCCCAAAGTGCATCATCCAATTTCATTGCCCAATCTTTTCTTGCACTTGAAACTGTCTTCTCTAGAATGTTTTTGATTTCTCGATTGGAGATTTTCACTTGACCAATAGTTTGAGGATGGTAAGCCAATGCAATCTTATGAGTTACTCCATACTTGTGCAAGAGGGCCTCAAATTGACGCTCAGTAAAGTGCGAACCACCATCACTTATAACAACTCTTGGAACTCCAAATCTTGGAAAAATCACCTTCTTAAAGAGCTTGGGAACCACCCTAGCATCATTGGTTGGAGATGCAACTGCTTCCACCCATTTGGAGACGTAATCAACTGCAACAAGAATATACTTATTGCCACAAGAAGATGGGAATGGTCCCATGAAGTCAATTCCCCAAACATCAAATAGCTCCACCTCCAAAATAGGATTTAAAGGCATGTCATTTCTCTTTGAGATATTACCAGTTATTTGACATCGATCACAAGCAGATACATATTTCTGAACATCTTTGAATAGTGAAGGCCAATAAAAACCAGCTTGAAGAATCGTTGCAGTAGTTTTTGACTTATTCGCATGACCACCATAAGATGAAGCATGACAATGGTAGAGTATGCTATCAACTTTGGTTTCTAGAACACATCTCCTGAACATGTTGTCTTCACATTTCTTGTAAAGCAACGGCTCATCCCAATAATAATGCTTGACATCTAAAAAGAATCTCTTCTTCTGTTGATAATTTAGTCCAGGAGGTAGAACTCTACAAGCTAGATAATTCACCAAATTAGCTAACCAAGGGGCATCTATCTTCTTCACAGCAAATAATTGATCATTAGGAAAAGAATCATCAACTTGTGGCTCTTTATCTCCATCCTCATTCAAATCCTACCTCAATCTAGACAAATGGTCCGCCACCACATTCTCTGTGCCCTTCTTGTCCCAAATCTCTAACTCAAAATCTTGAAGAAGCAATATCCAACGAATCAATCTAGGCTTGGCATCATTTTTGCTCAACAAATACTTGATGGCAGAATGATCTGTATAAACGATTATCTTTGAACCCACCAAATATGAGCAGAACTTGTAAATGGCAAATATCACAGCTAGCAACTCCTTTTCTATGGTAGCATAATTAATTTGAGCCTCATCCAGTGTTCGACTTGCATAATAAATTGCATGAACCTTCTTGTCTTTTCTTTGCCCCAAAACAGCTCCAATTGCATAATCACTAGCATCACACATGACTTCAAAAGGGAGGTTCCAATCAGGAGCTTGCATGACTAGAGATGATATCAATGCCTATTTCAACATAGAAAAAGCATCAAGAAAATCCTGACTAAAATCAAAAGGGACATCTTTAAGAAGTAAATGGGTCAAAGGCTTAGTATTTTAGAAAAATCTTTAATAAAACGCCTATAACATCCAGCATGGCCCAAGAAACTTCTGACACCCTTAATAGAGTTTGGAGGAGGCATCTTTTCAATCACTTCCACCTTGGCACGATCAACTTCTATCCCTCGCTCAGACACTTAAGTGTCCAAGTACAATACCTTCCTTCACCATAGAATGACATTTTTCCCAATTTAAGACAAGGTTAACTTCCTTGCATCTCTGTAAGACTTTATACAAGTTGGACAAACAATCATCAAAAGTAGTTCTATAAACAGAAAAATCATTCACAAAAAAACTTCATGATATGCTTAATAAATTCAGAAAAAAATTGCCATCATACAACGCTGAAAAGTAGCAGGAGCATTACAGAGACCAAATGGCATTCTCCTATAGGCAAAAGTACCATAAGGGCATGTAAAGGTGGTTTTCTCTTGGTCACTAGGATGAATAGGAATTTGAAAAAATCTAGAATAACCATCCAAATAACAGAAAAATGCATGCTTTGCTAATCTTTCCAACAATTGATCAATGAAAGGAAGAGAAAA